ATTGCTCCTCTGACTCATGTACCTGCTATGTCGCCTGTGCAGCCACCACAACCTAGCTCACAACCACTAATTTCTTACACACAGTCACCATTATGCCTCAGCCCAACACAGCACCACAGACATACATACAGCAGCCAAACTAATATCATAGAGGGAGCGACCAAAAAAAAAAATAAATAAATAAATTCTTGGGAGTTGTTTTGTGTGTGTGAACCCAAACTATAGGAAAGATCAATGTCCAATCAGCCATTGGAGATATGGGGACACCAACAAGGGTTGTTTTGTGTCTGGAGATTTAAACCACTGGAGAGATCAGTGTCCAGTGAACAGCCAACCTGCGGGGGGTTGGGATCCCCGAAGAGGTGGGGCTGCTGGTCGAGGCAGGCGACCAGAACCAATACAAACTCTCCCGTCATCCCCAGCCCCTAAACCCCGGGGGAACCAGGTGCCCACTCAATTCCCGGTGTGGGACCTGGGGGATGAGGCGAAGACTTATTGACGGGACCCACAGAGAACCAGCAGGGGGGGACAGGCCGAACCCCTACTGTAGATAATGGTCAACGCTAGGCCATTAACAGCCTTGGTGGATACTGAGGCCACACTTTCTACTGTCACGAAGGGGGCAGTGACTGATGATATGTTGTCAAGCAAGACAATTGAAGTAATAGGTTCTCTGGGGAAGCAGAAAGATGGCCAGCTACAAAAAACAATACCCGTTACCGTGGCTAAGCAGCAACTAATGCCTAGTTCACACTAGAGGATTTTAAGCCTGATTTGAGCCCGATTTGGAAGTTAACGAGCTCGCCGACAGATCGGGCTGTGATCGGGAAGAAATCTGCGGGTGCTCGGCGCTCACGGCTCTTTATGTGTGAACTACTGAACAACGCATCAACGAGGCTCGCTGACGCGTCGCCGACACCTCGCAGACGGAAATCCAACATTCAGCATGCTAAATATTCCAGAGCAGTCGGCCGACTCAACCCCACGTGTGGTCAGATGTAGTGACGAGCTACAGCCAATGAGAGAGCATATAAGCATGAGCTGAATGGCTGTGTGTTCAGGAGCTCAGCAGAAACATCTGTGATTGGTCAGAATGGGCATCGGTGCACTCGCTTCATTCTGCGTTAGCACAGACATGAGAGTAGGCTATATTAACAGTGGAACTAGAATTCTGTAACTATTAGAATTACCACACTGCTCATTCTGATCGTTCTCATATGAAACGCCATATTGTCACAACATATTTACATTCAAAGCTATTATTGAGATATTAAAATTAAGCTTTGAATGTCTGGCATCATATTTAATGACACCATTACCCTAAAAATATAATCTTTTTTTGGTAATACAGCCTATAAATATGTAGTTAAGATACTAAAACACTTAAAGGTCTTGGCTTTCATTTTCACTTTCAAACAGGAGCTATTTCACAGCACATAATATGCTGTTTTGAAAGATATATGAAGTAAATTAATGTTTTTGCCATCAGAAAGTTTTGTTTATGTTAGCAGGAAGTTGCTAGGCAAGAAAATGCACACATATTTAAAGTCACAGCGAAAAGTATTAGACATGCATGCAGTCATTTAGACCAATATGGTAATTTAAGGCATAAATGCTCAGTTCTTTACTGTTTTGTAATAAAAAAAATAACAATGTCAGAAAGAAATACACTGATAGTTAGAAAACGGCAGGGTGTTATAAATATGTTAGTTTTATTTCAAAGAGTTATAAAATTACAAAAATTAAAAACTCTCTGTGTATCTATCCACTCAAATCTTGCAGATGAGTGATTAATCCGCTCATAAATCAGCTGATTTGACAATGTTTTTAAATGCTTTCTCCAAAGCTTAAAACGCTGTCAGCGATGTCATCAGCACACAAGCAGCCAATAGTGTTCAGCTTTTTCTGATGACTCCTCCCTCAAATTTTCATTGGCTGTGGTTTGGTAGCTTGAATGAGCTGATGGGGAATGAGATGTTGTTAGATCATGTAGTGTGTGACCCCCCTCTTGTGGATCGTTCACGGAGTGTTGCGTAGTGTGAACACCACAGAGATCAAAAGACACAAAGTCAAGTCATGTAGTGTGAACAGCACAACGATCTGCTGATGTTTAAAATCCTGTAGTGTGAACTAGGCTTAAGCCACAGTTTTCTCTACTCAACAACTGTGCCTGTGGCCCTTCTGGGGAAAGATTTATTAGTTAAACTGGGAGCCAGCATATTGGGTTCACCTGATGGGGTTATCATCACCTTCCCTAATGACAGGTCATTTAACTGCTCAAAACATGGGGCATCACTAGATGGACAGTGGTTACTGTCCACATGCAAGTAGTGGGAGGGTGCTGATATCTACTAGGTGGAGCTGGACAACACAGGTTGAAGCCCTGACAGTTTGGTCTCCCTATACAACCTTTGGAAACCCAGGATTAACCAATTAGGCATTCACTTACCACCATCTGACCCCCTACACTGCACACTGTTCTATGACAGAAGCGATAAATTATACTATGAAGATGAATGCTTGTCACTAGTGGGCATAAAATGGTTGTTACAGGGAAAGGGTCTACTAATTGGCAAAGAGGGGGTGGTCACCCAAATTAACTGATGAACAATAAAAAAGGTATGAGATGGCTGACACAGCTTTACCACATGTTTCAGTTGCCATAAATCCAGTGCATGAAGCCGAGGAGTTGGGAACAATGACAAAACTGAAAGTCGCAAATTGGAAGAAAAATCTAATGTTACGTAAGCCTTATATTAACCATAAAAAAGCCTATAATAACACACTAAGTCATATCAGTTGGGAATTAAACCTAATTTACTTTCTGACATTAAAAAAACAATATAGAATAGTTTCAATTATTAATGCCATACATATAATAACCGACTTTCCTGTGATTGTGCACCTATCACTGAATTGGGTCTAAAAAAAATTAATTAAGGCCTGTCTTGACTGGACTGTAATTGACATCTCCTCCTAGAGTTCTGAGTTTGCTGGTGGCTGTTGTTTTAGAGCAGATGATGGAAGTCTGAGGACAGGTTAGGGCATATAAATTGGAAAAGTCTAAATGATACCAATGGTTGAATCACTTTAGTTAGCAAAAGATTTAAGGGTTAACATCTAACTTGAATGCGCATATGTGGGTACAGCTGTACATGTCAAATTGCCACAGTGGCGGAGGTCTGGTTTCTTTACCTCCTTGGGTCGACCTATCTCAGGAACAGAAAACTGTTGAGCATTCCTTGGGTCTGGCTCATCTTCATAGTACTGCCGGCATTGAATATAATTATAGATATGACAGAAAATTGGCTAAAATCTGTGTACACACTAAAATGAACTGACTGAATGTTTTGCCTATTGCATCAATGTCTATACATTCTTCTGCAACAGGACCCGACTTCACACCTTTTAAGCTTTTGACAGGTCGACAGAATCCTGGCCAGAGTTCTGCGCTTTCCCTGGAAAGCATTTACACCATTGTCACCAAGATGTTATCATGACAAACTAACTTCTTTGATTGCAGGTTTTGTCTTTATAGATCACTCCTGACAAACAATCTAAGGAACCAGTGGCCAATGCTGCTGATTGGGTAGACCTTTGCCTGTTTAAGAGTAAGTGGAGGGAGCCCACATGGTCTGAACCATACATTGCCAGATTGTGCCATTGTGTTAAGGTTGCTGGCAAGGGTGATACCTGGTACCACCTCTCATCCTGTGTTGCATGTAATAAACCTAACCATTCTCTTGCAGAAATTAGAGTGGACCTGACTTCTCAGGTCCAAGAGAGGGAGACTCAGATTATACAAGACACTGACACTAACAGACCTGCAACACACACAACCAATTACTCGCTGCCACTCTGACAAATAGAAAATTAAAAATTGAACAAAATTGAACACCTATTTCAAACACTGGACAATGAACCATTAGCTCACTGTGTAAGTGCTGACTGTGCTTTTGGGGCTGATATAGCAAAACAATTCAGAGAAAGATACAGTGTAAAAAGATTGAAATTAAATTTAAACAACCAAGACAGGATTATCTTTCATCTGGTGAAAAAAAAATTGACTACTAACAAATTAACATATGAAGACTTTAAAGCCAGTCTGATTTAGATGAAATATTACTGTCTGTTATTCAGAGTGAGCAGTGTGTCTGTACCCCGGCTTGGGTGTTGCCTGGACAAATCGGACTTCACCACAGTTTTGCAAATAATCAATAAAGTGTTTTCTGATGTTAATATGCTGATCACAATCTACAGTTTAGAAATTAACCCCTATATCCTTTAAGGGTTTGAAATTTTTTTAATATTATTTTTATATTTAAATATTAATATTATTATTATTTTTAAATATTATATGACATGTGATAGTTCTTGCTTTAAATAGTTGCAGAATTGAAAGTGTTACTGCATCTCATCTGATTCACCTTTAGGAGTGGCCCTTGAATTGGTAAGAATTGTCACAGCCAGAGAACAACATTTGAGTTGTTGTGTAGCTCAGTGGTTCCCAAAGTGGGGTCCGTGGGACATTAACAGGAGTTATTTCCAAAATCAAATTAATTTTATTAAAATATCAGAATTATTCAGCGGGTTATTTTAACCATAACCCGCTGAAGATAAAAATAAAAAACAACAACATGCAAATGAAAAGTCATCAGCCTTTCAATTATTATCATCATTTTGGTAATACTTTACAATAAGGTTCATTAGTTAATGCATTTACTAACATGAACTAATCATGAACAACACATGTACAGCATTTATTAATCATAATTGAACATTTACTAATGCATTATTAACATCCAAGTCCATGCTTGTTAACATTAGTTAATGCACCATGACTTAACATGAACTAACAATGAACAACAGAATTTTCATTACCTAACGTTAACTAGCATGAACAAATAGAGTAGTAAATGTATTGTTCAATGTTTGTTCATGTTAGTAAATGCATTAATTAACATTAACTAATGAACCTTATTGTAAAGTGTGACCATCATTTTTTCATAGGGTTGGTGTGTTAACATTAGATTAACACTGAAATAATGTCAGCTGCAGCATATTGATTTTATAGCACCAAGTAAAACGTTCTGACACCTTTATAGCAGTCAATTACATTAAAAATAAAAAAACAAGATACTAATCATACTACTTTAGCATCGTTACTACTTTAGCATCACCTAAAACTGGTTCGTTTACCCCTAGAGAGGGAGCATACAACTGTTTCAATTTTAATATGTGAAAAAAAAAAAAAAAGACGTTCTTCTTATATAACATGGCCCTGGACGAATCGGTGACTAGGGCCCTGGAAGGACTGAGGGCTTTGTCTAATGAGATGCAGGAACACTGAGGTATTAATAACCCCATTGATAAGTTGTTTACTGATATGTTTGGGAATTAAAAGGGAGTAATAATATTGATTATGCATTCTCTGGAGATATTTTTGAGGATGTTGGTTACTTTTGGTAGTTGTTGCATACCATGTTTTGGGTCATTGTGTAACAGAATGATTGTTGCAGCAATTAAGAAGAAAGAGGTTCCGCCTCCTTACAGTATGCCACTGCTGGGAATAAGAGATGTTGACTCTAAGGAAGAAGAAGCAGAAGTGTGATCTCTAAAGAGATCAAGAGAGGGAATTGAAGGAATAAAATTACAGTCTAATGCTTCTTTTGAATTATATACATGTGGTCATGCTTATTTTGCATATGTATATGTGTTTGCTTGAACCATGATAATCTAATGAGTCCACGCAGTGATATGATGAGACATTTCTGTTGCAGCTGTGATGTGTGACTTTTCTACACAAAAAAGAGAACTGGAGCAGATGAGGAAAATATTGCTTTATTGTCTTACTAATCACTCTTTTCTTTATATTTATTTTTGTTATTGGAGGAATATACTCCCATCTACCTCACTATTCATTATTTACAATATGTGTTTTTGTCAGATATGATGATGTCTCCTGATATAGCGTACTTCTACTTAACCCCTGTTATAATGCGTTTCTAACTAACTGCTAAAACCACAAGAGCTGTGTGTGGGTGCTGGCTGGAGACAGATCTGCAAGAGGGGCTTCCCCTAGATGGGTGCATACACAGGTCAAGAGTTCATAGACAGGACTATGAGGAAAAGCAGATGTGGGTAGATGCAGCATTTTTATACTGCTCTTTGTGTATGTATGATGCTTTAATAAAATTGATATTATCCTGATAATTCTATAAGGAAGTTATGATGCTCAGCTGTGCTTTGATGATTTTTTGCTACAGTTGCTTGCTGCACCCCAGATGTCAGTAGTGTCAAGTATGTCAAGAAGGAGTGATACTTTCACTTGCCCTTTTGTTTCTGTGTGCAGAGGTATCTCTGTGTGCAGACCACAGACTTTTGAGAGATGATTCTGCCTGAAAACAGCTGATGGCAACAATAGAGATTGGGGGTAACTGATTAGAGGAGTGGCCAAAAAGATTGAACGCTGCTGATGGATAAAAGGAGGGAGTCGAAAGAGTTCGAGAGCTTTTGGACATCCAGACTGCTTGGCTGACGGTTCTTCAAAAGCCCAGGATCCTGATCTTCGCTTTATTCACTTATGCTCGATAAATAAATTCATTGATTTTGATTAATTGACTCCTGACTGATTATTGAATTGGGGTGGACTAAGGCAAGTGAGAAATAGTCCGACAATACCAACCTAGGCTCATTCTGAAAGCGTACCACTAAATACATTTCTGTAGAGCGCTTAATACGTCTCAGGAGGTGCAGTTGTTGTTTTCTCAAATCCACTAGAGGCTCCTGTGAATGTTTTCTCAGATCTCAAATTTCTCTCGCGAGTGCCATTTGCATCTTGTTCTCAGATAAATTTACCAGAGACCGCTGTCAACTGACTGACTGACCCACCCTCCTCCTCCCCTAAACCCAACCAACAGTGTTTTTATAATCTATTTAGAAAAAGTAAAGCCCTCTCCTGCTTTTTACCACGTTTTCAGATTTTACCACATTCTCACCCTGTTATTTACTTGTTTATTTAAATCTTTTGCCTTCTGTTTTTGTCTTACCTGCTTTCTGGAACCATTCTTTGCCAGACTAAATATCGAATTTACCGGTAAATTCGAAAGAGTGCTGTACACACAGGCAAGGATGTTACGGAATCTTTCCGGAAAAGACCATTCACATACTCGTTCCAAAATACCAGTCAATTCTGACATCATTAACCAGAATTGAGCTCAAACAACGGCATTTCATAAGCATCTTATTGATATGTATTTACACAGTTGGCAATAAGAAGGAACATAGAAATGTTTTCTGACTAGCAACTGAATGTGTCTGGAAAAATATTCAAAGGCTTTTATTTTCATAAACAGTGCAGATGTGAATGCGTCTGAGCCGAGGTTTGAGCCAGCGATCTTCTTGCTGTGAGGCGACAGCACTACCTACTGCGCCACTGCGTCGCCCCATATAAATAATATAATAAATAAAAATAATTTAATGAATGAAAAGAAATACAAATATAAAGATAATGAGCGATGCAGTGGCGCAGTAGGTAGTGCTGTCGCCTCACAGCAAGAAAGTCGCTGGTTCGAGCCTCGGCTGGGTCAGTTGGTGTTTCTGTGTGGAGTTTGCATGTTCTCTCTGCAATCGCTTGGGTTTCCTCCTGGGTGCTCCGGTTTTCGACACAGTCTAAAGACATGCAGTACATGCAGTGTATGAGTGTGAGTGAGTGTGTATGGATGTTTACCAGAGATGGGTTGCAGCTGGAAGGGCATCCGCTGCATAAGGCATATGCTGGATAAGTTGTGGCGACCCCGAATTAATAAAGGGACTGAGCTGAAAAGAAAATGAATGAATGATGAAGATAATGGTAGTAATAATAATAAATATAAGAATATAAGTAATATAAACATAAGAAATGCTCTTGCTTCAGGTTTGTCCATTGGCTGACAGTCTGAGTTTGTGGCAGGCTGACACATATTTGGCTGCTGTTGGGATCATTGTGGAATTTTCACCTAAAACGTATGGTAATTTTTCTGAATTTTATAATGCCCTAAAATTTGGATGAATTTGCTGGAATTTTTGGAAATATTCAATTCTAATGTGGTGATGATGATCACAGTGAAGCAGGAATGTTGCTCTGTTTCCACCACTCTGTGAACAGAATGAACAGTCTCTGTTCCCAGGGTCTCCATCTCTGTCAGTCTCTCTCTCTCTCTCTCTCTCTCTCTCTCTCTCTCTCTCTCTCTCTCTCTCTCTCTCTCTCTCTCTCTATCTCTCTGGCTAAACATTAATCACTCAATCTGTATTTTGTTAATGTTTTTCTCTCTCTCACACACACACACAATGAAAGCATGATAGATGTAGTACTGTTGAAGGGGGCCCAATGAGAATTCATTTTCAATTTGTTTTATCTTTATTGCACTGTAATGCCAAAACAATTTTAATGACGATTATAATGTTGTACAACAAAATATTAAATTGTAAAATATCTACTTAAATTTAAAGGCTGGCCAAAAAATGTCTTTTGCCTGTGACATATGTAACGGAGTTAAAATAAGGGTTAAATTCATGGTTCAGTTGGGAACACTTACCATTGGTTTTTACCTGCAATAGCGTCCATCACAGTAGGGGGCGTTGCTACGTAATTCACCAGCAGTTCTGAGAAGCCTTTCTGCTGGTAAGCTGCTTTGGTGATCGCTGGTCTTATGTGTTATTAATTATCAGGCATTTGTGAAACGTTTAAACTCTGTTTATTTCACTTTAAGACACTGCTACATATTCCACGTGCTAGAATTAAGTGTTTTGCTGCTTATAAGTATTTATTCTGTTCCGTCGTTCCTTTTCTTAAAAAAAAGTGTTGATTATTGGTCACATAAGCTTACTGTTTATTTTCACTAAAGTTTACTGTATTGAAATAGTGATTTGGATGAGAGATGAATAGAGGCAGTTTTATTTAATTTTCATGTATGTTTTATTTACATTTATAACCACTATACATCACAATGTATAAGTTTAGACGAAATGTAATGTACCAGCAGTTCTGAGAAGCCTTTCTGCTGACACTGATATCACCAGAGCTGCAAACCAACTAAATCTTTGGTGCTGTGTTTGTCCCAGACAATAATATCACCAGAGCTGCAAACCAACTAAATCTTTGGTGCTGTGTTTGTCCCAGGACAATAAAAGAAGTTTAAGTGACCACACCTACCTGACTCGCAGTATTCTTCAGCATCCCAGCGCCTACACACAGTCACATTGGTGCCGTGACTCGTTGTTTCTTCAATCAACATGGCGTCTGAAGCGGCCGAGGATTCACCTTAAAGTTTCATTGGGAGTCAGGTGGACTGTTTTGCTCAAGAACTGTGATCATTTATTTGAAAAGTCGAAATTTTATTTACTCAGTGACTGCATTTATCAGATTTTACTATTAAGGACAATTTTTCTTTTTTTTTATCAGCTGCATATTTGTGGATTTTGATGTTTTTCTATTGATTTTGGGTTAAGATTTTTGATCAGTCATTCACAATGAGCAATATTGATGGTTTTCATACACCTGTATGTAGAAGTAAAGGTAGAGGATGGGGTTTGTTAAAAGTGCCACAGTCTTTACAGGTCAGTGAGCCTAATGCTTCAATGGAGCAACAGGGCGTGTTTTCATCTACCCCATTTCCTAACTCACAGCCTCCGAATGTAGTCGCAGCAATGTCTGACATAATTAGTCAAGTTGGTCAGCAAATTGCTGATAGTATAGTGACTAGATTAAACCAAACACATTCAGTTGAGACACAGCCAGTGATTGATTCCCCAAAACATGTGACTACAGATAATACGAGCTCACAAATGCTGGACTTATTACAAAGCCAGATGTCATTTTCCAGAAATGTGAAAGGACCTCCAAGCTTCAGAGGTGAAATGTCTGACACTGTTGACTTAAATGAGTGGATAGATATCGTCAGGGACTACATTAAGCGGAACAATCTGAGGAAAGAACAGCAAGCCGAGGAGATTATGGTTCATCTGAGAGGCAAAGCAAGAGATGTGGTTAAGTTTGGAATAAGGAACAGTGATGTAAACATTGTGCATAACCCTGATGCAATCTTTAGTATTCTCAGGAAACATTTTGAAGCTGCTCCCTGCTCTCCTCTACCGCTGGCAGATTTCTATACTACACTGCCTGGACCAGATGAGGGTGCTTATGAGTACTGGTTGAGGTTAAACCGTGCAGTTGATGCTGCTGATCGCCTGAAGGAACAGGGAAAAGTGCTGGATTGTCCAGGAACTGAGGTAACACGCATGTTCATCAGACATTGTCCTTGTAAAGAGCTTGCCATCACTTTTCGGTCTAAAACGATGGATCAATGGACTGTACAAGAAGTTCATAATATTCTTAATGAATATCACTCTGAAACCAGTTTTGTCGCTGCAGTCAGAAATACAGCATCCATTAAAATTCCTGTTAACAGAACTGAAGTGGAACTCCCAACAGCAGCACTTCCACCTACCTCTAATGTTCAGCAGTCCAGTTCCTTGGAAGTTTCTGCATTAGAGCGAGTCATGAATTTACTGGAAAAAGTCCTGTTAAAAGAAGCCAACAGCAATGAGCCAAGTCGACGATCAAAGCCAAATGTGAGTTTACCCCGAATAAAAGGTTTAAATGACCTACCATGCACTGTCTGTTTCTGCACAGTTGTACCATGCACAGTCCTGATCACTCCGGCCTCACACACTGTCGGGAAAAAAAGCTGTGTTTTCAGTGTCACTCACCTGACCATTCCCGCCTTGGTTGTCCTGAGAGAGTAAAATCTCTGTCATCTCATGGGCCGGGAAACTAGCAGATCTACACTCAGGGGAGGATGGTGTAGATCATAAAAACATTCCTCCCAATCAGTGTTGTATGAGTGACCCGGTCTCAGTTTATAATCTTACTAATTCTGTTGAGCCTGCAGGAAAAATTATCATTTATCAGAACACGCACAAAGTACAGAAAATTGATAGTCTGTTTTACACACCTGCTACGATATGGAGTGACCTTCAACTGAAAGCTATGATTGACAGTGGCTCCATGGCATGTACACTGAGCGAAACTGCTGAACGTCAGCTGTTGCAGCACAAACCCAACTTACAAAAACTCCCTACCAACGATGTTGTCATTATCGGTTGTGGCGGACAACGTGTCATCCCAAAAGCAATGTATGAACTTGAACTTACAGTTTATGCCTGTACAATGGTTGTTCCAGTTTTAGTTGTCCCAGGCCAAACTGATGATTTAATTCTGGGTAGCAATGCTATCAAATGGCTAATTCAAAAAATGAAGGAAACAGATGGATACTGGAGACTTGTGTCCAGCCCAACTAACCCTGATGATGCTGAATGTCACCAGTTTCTGTCCCTGCTTTCAAATGTTGAACGCTGGAAAGGAGGAGACATGCCAGACAAGGTGGGAACAGCAAAGTTAGGTTGGGATTGAAAGATCTAAATCTGGAAGCTTGTGAAGTATCTGATGAATGGAAGGACAGACTTCTGAATCTCATTGAGAAATATGAGTCAACATTCTCACGTAGTAAAATGGACTGTGGAGAGGCCACTGACTTTGTCCACAAAATTCATCTGGTTGTCGAAAAGCCATTTAGACTCCC